GGTTTGGGGACATGAGGGAGGGACACAGGGACGTGAGGGGACCGGGAGGGTTTGGGGACGTGAGGGGGGGACAGAGGGACGTGAGGGGACCGGGAGGGTTTGGGGACACAGGGACGTGAGGGGACCGGGAGGGTTTGGGGACATGAGGGGGGACAGAACGGCATGGGGGGCACTGGTGGGTTTGTGGACACAGGGACACGGGGGGGACCTGGAGCGCTGAGGGGACAGAGGGACACGGAGGAGGACAGATAGACATGGGGGGGACCTGAGGGTTTGGGGACAGAGGGACAGGAAGGGGACAGAGGGACACTGAGGGCTCCTGGGGGGAGCTGGTGACAAGGAGGTTCCAGCTGGGGACACGGTGCCACCAAAATGTGGGACAGGAGCCAGCGCCACCACCGGGGACCGAACGCTCTGAAAAACCCCATTTTTATCACTCCCAGGAATCGCTAACGAGCTAAAAAACATCTTTTAGAGATTATGCACAAGGCCCAGCCCCCCTGAAACCCAGAGCCTGTCGTGCCCGTGCTTTGGGGGGGAGATGGGGGCTGTTTTGAGGTGAAACCTCTGCTTTTTGGTGGCTTCCAGGCCGAGTCCATGCAGAGTGTAATGGCAGGAGCCTGACCCCTGCTTTTGGAGCTGCACGTGGATTATTTTTTGGGTGCAATCCCTGCTCTGGGTGGGTTGCAGGCCGAGGCCATGCTGTGCACGGCGCTGGTGATGGCCGGGAGCCTGGCGCTCACCACGGCCGTGGTGGCCCACGCCTACTACCTGAAACACCAGTTCTACCCCACCGTGGTGTACCTCACCAAATCCAGCCCCAGCATGGCCGTGAGTGCTCCTCTCGTTATTAATTAGCCCTCATTAACCCGGGGAACGGGACGGGGCCGCGTCTCACTTCTGCTTTCGGGGTTACGAACGCCCGCGGTGGGGGTTGAGCTCCCCAAAAACCCCCGGGGACGGGCGGTGGGAGAACCCCGGGACCCCCCTCCAGCCCTCGGGACGTGAATTTCGGGGTAGCAAATCCCCCCGGGTTGTCCCCAAAATGCCTTTTGGGGGCTCCTGGCCCCGCAGGTTCTGTACATCCAGGCCTTTGTGCTGGTGTTCCTGCTGGGCAAGTTCATGGGCAAGGTTTTCTTCGGGCAGCTGCGCGCGGCCGAGATGGAGGTGAGCGCCCGGGGGGAGCTTTGGGGGTGTTTTGGGGGGGAATTTGTCACCCCAGAAAGTCTCTGGTGCCGTTTTAGAGGGGAATTTTCGATCCCAAAAAAGTCTTTGTTGCTGTTTGGAGGGATTTGTTGCTATTTTGAGAGGAATTTATGAGCCCAGAAAGTTTTTGGTGCTGTTTTAGGGGGGAATGTTGGACCCCAGAAAGTTTTTGGTGCTGTTTTGGGGAGAATTCAGACCCCAGAAATTCTCTGCTGCTGTTTGGGGGGAGAATTGATGCTTTTTGGGGAAGGATTTTGAACCCTGAGAGTCTTTCAGTGCCAGTTTTGCTGGGGGATTTGAACCCTGAGAGATCTTGGGGTGTAAATTTTGAACCTCCAGAGACCTTGAGCCCCATTTTGTGGTGAATTTTGAGCCCCTGGAGTTTTTGGGCCCCATTTTGGTGTGAATTTTGAACCCCCAGAGTCTTTGGGCCCCTTTTTGGGGTGAATTTTGAACTCCCAGATGTTTTGGGCCCCATTTTGGGTGGGTTTCACACCCCAGGACACCTCGGGTCCCACGTTGGGGTCCAACCTGGGGGGTCCTGTCCCTAAATCTGTCCCTCAGCACCTCCTGGAGCGCTCGTGGTACGCGGTGACCGAGACCTGCCTGGCCTTCACCGTCTTCAGGGACGACTTCAGCCCGCGCTTCGTCGCCCTCTTCACCCTCCTCCTCTTCCTCAAGTGCTTCCACTGGCTGGCCGAGGACCGCGTGGATTTTGTGAGTGTTGGGAGTAGGGAGAACAGCTCAAAAACAGCCCAAAACCCCCCAAAACCAACCCCAGATTAATCCAGAACCTGCCCGAAATCAGCCCAAAAATAATCCCAAATCAACCCAAAAATAACCCAGAATCAACCCAGAACCAGCCTGAAATCAACCCAAAAATAACCCCAAATCAACCCAAAAATAACCCCATATTAATCCAGAACCTGCCTGAAACCAGCCCAAAAATAACCCCAAATCAACCCAAAAATAACCCCAAATTAATCCAGAACCTGCCTGAAACCAGCCCAAAAATAACTCCAAATTAACCTCAAAATAACCTTAAATCAACCCAAAAATAACCCAGAATCAACCCAGAACCTGCCTGAAACCAACCCAAAAATAACCCCAAATCAACCCCAAAATAACCCCAAATCAACCCCAAAATAACCCCAAATCAGCTCAAACCAGCCCCAAATCAGCCTAAACCAACCCAAAATAACCCAAACCCACCCCAAACCAGCCCAACCCCGATCCCGACCCCGTTTTTAATGGAAAATGTGGATTTTTCCCCCCCTGCACAGATGGAGAGGAGCCCCAACATCTCCTGGCTCTTCCACTTCCGCATCGTCTGTGAGCGCTTCTCATTTGCATATTTTTGGGGAAGAGCCCAGGGCAGCCGAGCGTGGTGGGGCCTGATAAGCCGGAACGCTAATCAGCACCGGCTCGTTAACGAGGGGGGGTTAATGAGCTCCGCGGAGGAAAAACGAGGGGCCGGAGTAACGGCGAAATGGGGTGGAAAAATGGGATTTTGGGATGTATTTCCTAAAAATGGGATTTTGGGATGTATTTCCTAAAAATGGGATTTCGGGATGCATTTCCTAAAAATGGGATTTCGGGATGTGTTTCCCCAAAAATGGGATTTCGGGATGTATTTCCTAAAAATGGGATTTTGGGATGCATTTCCTAAAAATGGGATTTTGGGATGTATTTCCTAAAAATGGGATTTCGGGATGTATTTCCTAAAAATGGGATTTTGGGATGTATTTCCCTAAAAATAGGATTTTGGGATGTATTTCCTAAAAATGGAAAAATGGGATTTTGGGATGTATTTCCTAAAAATGGGATTTTGGGATGTATTTCCCTAAAAATGGGATTTTGGGATGTATTTCCCCAAAATGAGAAAAATGGGATTTTGGGATGTATTTCCCCAAAAATGAGAAAAATGGGATTTTGGGGTGTATTTCCCCAATTTTTGGAGGAATTTTGGGTTCCTGGAGGCTCCAAGGTGTGGCCGGAAGTGAGAAAAGCCGTTAATTAAGCTCCTGGTTAGCGGTGTGGCTGGAGCCGTTAATTAAGCTCCTGGTTAGCGGTGTGGCTGGAGCCGTTAATTACGCTCCTGGTTAGCGGTGTGGCTGGAGCCGTTAATTAAGCTCCTGGTTAGCGGTGTGGCTGGAGCCGTTAATTAAGCTCCTCGTTAGCGGTGGGGTTCAGGACGCCCCCCGAAGCTGCTCCCGTTGGTTATTTTGGTTTCTCCCGGCCCCTTTTCCCAGCCCTGATGTTCCTGCTGGGAATCCTGGACTTCCTCTTCGTCAGCCACGCCTACCACAGCATCCTGACCCGCGGCGCCTCCGTCCAGCTCGTCTTCGGCTTCGAGGTGGGTGCGCGGCGGCGGCG